AATTTCCCTCATGAACATCGATGCAAAAATACTCAATAAAATACTCGCAAACCGGATTCAAGAACACATCAGAAAAATCATCCACCATGATCAAGTAGGCTTCATCCCAGGAATGCAGGGATGGTTCAACATTAGAAAATCTATCAATGTAAGCCACCATATAAACAAACTACGAAAGAAAAACCACATGATCATCTCACTAGATGCTGAAAAAGCCTTTGACAAAATCCAGCACCCCTTCATGATAAAGGTCCTAGAGAGATCAGGGATAACAGGAACACACCTGAATATAATAAAAGCAATATACAGTAAACCAACAGCTAACATCAAACAAAATGGAGAGAAACTCAAAGCAATTCCTCTAAAATCAGGACCAAGACAAGGCTGTCCACTCTCTCCATATCTCTTCAATATTGTACTTGAAGTTCTAGCTACAGCAATGAGACACCAAAAGGAGATAAAGGGGATACAAATAGGAAAAGAAGAAGTCAAACTTTCACTATTTGCAGATGATATGATAGTTTACATAAGTGACAAAAAAGCTCTGCAAGGTTACTCCTAGAGCTGAAAAATACCTTCAGCAATGTGGCAGGATACAAGGTAAACTCAAAAAATCAGTGGCCCTATTATATACAGATGATGAAGTGACTGAGAAAGAAACAGACAAACATCACCCTTTACAATAGCCATAAACAGCATCAAATATCTGAGGATAATGTTAACCAAGGAAGTGAAAGACTTGTATATCAAGAACTTTGAGTCATTAACAAAGAAATCAAGGAGGATACCAGAAAATATAAAGATCTCCCATGCTCATGGATTGGTAGGAACAACATAATAAAAATGTCAATCTTGCCAAAAGCAGTCTACAGATTCAATGCAATCCCTATCAAAATTCCATCACAATTCTTCAAGGACTTGGAAAGAACATTAATCAACTTTATATGGAAAAACAAAAGGCCCAGGATAGCCAAAACAACCCTATACAATAAAGGAACTTCAGGAGGCATCACCATACCTGACTTCAAGCTCTATTATAGAGCTATAGTCCTGAAAACAGCTTGGTATTGGCACAAAAATAGGCAGGTAGACCAATGGAACCGAACTAGAAAACTCTGATTTTAACCCACACACCTATGAACACTTGATTTTTGACAAAGAAGCTAAAACTATACAATGGAAAAAAGAAAGCATCTTCAACAAATGGTGCTGGCATAACTGGGTACTGGTATGCAGAAGACTGCAGATAGATCCATGTTTATCACCTTGTACAAAACTTAAGTCGAAATGGATCAAAGATCTCAACATAAATCCAGCCACACTGAAACTTTTAGAAGAGAAGGTGGGAGATACTCTTCAACGAGTTGGTACAGGAGACCACTTCCTGAGCATAACCCCAGTGGCACAAACACTGAGATCGACAATTAACAAATGGGACCTCCTGAAACTAAAAAGCTTCTGTAAGGCGAAGGACACAGTCAACAAGACAAAAGGCAGTCCACAGAATGGGAAAAGATATTCACTAACCCCACATGTGACAGAGGGCTAATCTCCAAAATTTACAAAGAACTCAAGAAGCAAGTCTCCAAAACACCAAAGGATCCAATTAAAAGGTGGGGTACAGAACTAAATAGAGAATTGTCAATAGAGGAGGCTAAAATGGCCAAGAGACACTTAAGAAAGTACTCAACATCCTTAGCCATCAGGGAAATGCAAATCAAAACAACTCTGAGATACCATCTTACTCCTGTCAGAATGGCTAAAATCAAAACCACCGAAGACAATTTATGCTGGAGAGGATGTGGAGAGAGGGGAACACTCCTCCACTGCTGGTGGGAGTGCCAACTCGTATAACCTCTTTGGAAATCAGTATGGAGATTCCTCAGAAAAATGGGAATTTATCTACCACAAGACCCAGCAATTCCACTCCTAGGCATAAATCGAAATGAGGCAAATTCATACAACAAGGGCATCTGCTCCACTATGTTCATAGCAGCATTATTTGTAATAGCCAGAACCTGGAAGGAACCTAGATGCCCCTCAACTGAAGAGTGGATAGAGAAAATGTGGTACATTTACACAATGGAGTATTACTCAGCAGAAAAAAACAATGGAATATTGAAATTCGCAGGTAAATGGATAGCACTGGAAGAAACCTTCCTGAGTGAGGTAACCCAGTCGCAAAAAGACAAACATGGTATGGACTCACTCATGTATGGATTTTAGACATGGATCAGGATAGTGCCAGTCTGCACTTCCACTGATAGAGAGTCTGGGAAGCAGGAAAGAACCTAAAAGATATGCATAGTACCCAAGAAAAGAGGATTGAGACAAGATCCTCTGAATGGATGAGGCACACGGCGAGGGGTGGAGGGGAGTGTGAGCTGGGAAGAAGAGAGGGGGGAGAAGAGGAAGAGAGAGTAGGTCATGGGGGAACAGGAAGTCTGACTGGGTGGGGGTAGAATAGGGGGAAGAGGGAATCATAGGTTAGAAGACAGAGCAGGCACCACAGTGACCTCTAGTGATCTAAAGGGATAGCACCAATTGGCAAGCTAAGCAATAGTGGAGGTTCCACCTCGAATGCCCATTCCTGATAATGAACTTGATGTCTATAACCCTCCGGGAGCCTTCATCCAGTGACTGATGGAAGCAGAGGCAAACACGCACAATTAAGCACTGAACTCAACCCAAGAAACCCAGTGACAGAGAGAGAGGAGTGATGAGCAAATTGGCAAAGAATGGGCTGGCAAAACCAGCAGAGACAGCTGATCTGAACAGGGGAGAGCTCTTGGACGCAAGACCGACAGTGGGGAGGCCAGCATGGGAATGATCTGGACCCCTGAATGTGAGTGTCAGCGAGAAGGCCTGGGCAACCTATGGGGCCCTGAGCAGTGGATCAGTGTCTATCCCTGGAATACAAACTGTCATCGTGTGCCCATAGCACAAAGAGAGTTGCTCTCTCAACCTGGACTCTTAGCGGAGTGCCTGGACCCTACCCTGAGGGAAATGTCAGACTCTAGATATCCCCTATGTGGAAGGAATTGGCAATATGGTGGTAGGCTGGGGGAATGGGGAGCCCGGGAGGAGGGGATGGAGAGGGAACTAGGATTGACATGTAAAACAAGCTATTTAAAATTAAAATAAAAAGTGATAATAAAAAAGCACACACAAAAAAGAAATTGATCCAGTCCTAAAGAGAAACAGATCACACAAAGATGATTTCACCCCTTGGGATCACACACCTTTAATCTCAGAACTAGAGAGATATAAAAAGCAAAGGGTCTCATGTGGAGATTGATTCTCCAACTACACTGAGGAGAGGCAGCAGTCTCAGGCGTGGTAGAGCTCATGGAGACAGGGTCAGCCCTTTCAGCCTGAGATAGAACTAAGAGGTAGTGGCTTGACTGCTTTGCTTCTCTGATCTTCAGCTTGAAGCTTGAACCCCAATATCAGTCCCTGGGTCTTTTATTTAGCATGCTACATCCAGGCAACACAGCATTTATCAGATGCATTCAGTCATGAAGAAGGTGTGATAGTGTGTGTTTGTGAAGGCCAACACTCAGGAGGTTGATGCAGGAAGACCAGAAGGTCAAGACTATCTTTGCCTACACAGGAAGATTGAGGTGAAACTAGGCTACATGTCACCCTTCTTACTAAAACAAACAAGCAAACAAACAAATCAGATCCATGGCTTCCAAGTGTTTTCTCACAGTTTTGTCAACTGGGAATTAATAGGATGGCAGTGTTTTCCTAATGCATAAGACTCTATTTAGCACCTTGCATTTCAGTTGGTTAGAAGGCCTCAGAAGTTTGAAACTCTGTTTCACATGTAGGTGCTCGTCAGTCCACAGGACCTTTGACAAACCAGTGTGCTGCCTAGTTTTTGTGTCAACTTGACACAGCGTAGGGTCATCTGAGAAGAGGGAACTTCAACTGAGAAAATGCATCCATCCGATTGACCTATAGACAAGCCTGTAGGGCATATTATTGGTTGATGATGGATGTGGAAGGGCCCAGTCCATGGAGGGGGTGCTGCCCTGGACTATGTAGCCCTGAGTTATGTAAGAAAACAGGCTGAGCAAGCCATGATAAGGAGCAGACCTAAGCAGCACTCCTCCGCATTGTATTAGTTCCTGCCTCCAGGATCTTTTCTTGACTTTCTGCCCTGACTTTCCTAGATGATGAACTACAAGTTGTAAGATAAAATAACAACATTCACCAAGTTGCTTTTGGTTCTTGTGTTTTACCACAATAGAAAAGTAACCAATACACACAAAGAAGGGGTTCTTATGGTGCTTGTGTGTCATGGTAATAGCAGAGAGGTAAAAACAGAAAAGCCATAAACTGTGATAAATGATCATATGCACAAAATGTTTCAAGGAAGGTAACTTCAAAATATTCCATGCGATTCATGAAGCCAAGGACTAGTGAGAACATTATTACTAAGCAACTTTTTGTTGTTTGTTTTGAAACAGGATCTCACTGTGTAACCCTGGCTGGCCAAGAACTTGTTCAATAGACCAGGCTGGCCTCAAACTCATGCAGATCCAACTGCATCAGCCTGGGATCAAAGGCCTGAACCACCACAACTGGCACTGGACATACTTTAAACCAAGTAATGTTACTTAACTGGAAAATATCATTTAACGTGTGACAGGACAAAAAAAAATAACCTCTATCTGTTTATTTTGGGTGGGTTTCAAAAGCTGCATACAAGCTATTGAATGATTTTAATCCTACAATGGGTACACTTAACACACTGGTTGTTCATTTCACAGTGAATTTTAAATGTTTCCGACACATTAATAAGTTGCCATTCTCATTGATTTTGTTTCCGCTTGGTCAGAGAACCACTTGATGAGAGACACATGAATGTTCACACCGCTGAACTAACAAAGACAAAACATCCCATGGCTGGCTGAATCACAATCGTCTCTCCTTCTCTGCACCTTAGGGATGTATTGTGTATCCACATATAGGAAGAAGAATGACAGTCCTACCCATGCAAACGACTGCTCATGGCTCCTTTGGTCCACCCTTCATTTATCCTAGGCGCCTCACCAGTCAGCAGATCTCAGAGCTCACGTCCTGTGTAGTCACATGTGATAGGAAACTCTGCTGAGCAATCCAAGAGAAACAAAAAGTTAAACCATCGCACACTGATTGGATGTAACCAGTTTTCAAGTACTTGTGTGACTCGAGAGGATGTCTTTCTAGGAAATTAACAAATAGGCTGGAGTTTTTGCTTGCAATCCCATGCATAGAGCCACTTGGGGACCAGCCCTGCCTCTTCAAGGCTTTTACCCATGTCTTTGATCCACATGAAAATCATAATTATTCCAGCTTGGAATATAAGCAAATGCACTATTTCTAGTTGTCCCAAAGAATTACAGTAATGAATTCCTGTGCAGATCCCATCCAAGCTGCCTTGGGATTAAAAACCTGTTGGTGTCCTCAGTACAGCACTTCCTGATACACCATCAAATTGTGCTGCATGCCTTCTCTTTTTAAATTACCTTTTTAAAGCTTTGAAAAAAGTTACTAATTTTTATTTCATATACATAAATGTTTTGCCTATGTCTTGTGTAGATCTTCCCCCATCTTGTATTCTTGCTGAGGCCATTCCATGTTAAATAGAATCTTGTCTCCTTGATGGAGAATCCTATGGAAAACTACCCTATAACTATTCCTATTCTAGGAACCAAAGGTCAGGTTGTCCTAACTAAATTACCTTAGCCTCTGTTAAACCTGTTTGTACAGAACCACCTGCAATTAACTGTTTACCTTACTTCTGTTAAACTGCCTGTTTGTATGAAGCCCCCACCCGCTAACTTACTTCTTATCTAACTGCTAGAGCTGCTTGCTTCAAACTACAGAGTGAGATGCCGGGGTTTGGTTTCTGCCTTTAAAAACCCTGTGTTCTGGACACTAAGACCTACACCCAGGTCCTTGAACATTTGCTTGGGTATGGTCAAGTCAGCTGGAATAACGAATTTCAATTGGCTATACAGTGTGTCTGAGAGGTCATCTTTGGAGAGCTCCCATACTACAACCTAATCCTTAGACAGAGAGACCCTAGGTTTGACATGAACTTTGAAATCCAAAAGCCCACCCTCAGTGACATACTTCTTTCAACAAGGCTATGCTTCCTAATCCTTTCAAATAAGGTCACTTCCTGGTGACTAAGCATTCAAATCTATGAACCTTTGAGTGCCATTCTTATTCAAATTACCACAGATCTGGAGGAGGAGTTACAGACAGCTGCAAGCTGCCCTGGTTGGTGCTGGGAACTGAACCTGGGTTCCTGCAAGGACAGCAAGTGCTCTTAACCATGGAACCATATCTCCAGCCTCCAGTTCTTAGTTTACTAAATCAAAGCTTGCTTTGACTCTTGGTTCTGTGACACATTGATGGAGATAGCTAAGACCACTAGGGAATGCTGGATACATGTACATCATGGTCTGAGTATGTCCCCCAGAATTCAATGTTGGAAAATTCATCTCAGAATCTATATGTTGATGGTATTTGTAAGGAAATATCATAATGGAATTAGGATCAGATAAGATCATGATCTCAGGGCTCACCAGAGTGACTCAGTAGCTTCATAAAATGACAAAGAGAGATTTGAGTGAGCATGCTTGGTCCATCTCTTCTTGCTGTGCCTTCCATGTTGCTACTGAGGCAGAATAGGAAGACAGGGACTATTTTGGGGACATGAGAAGTGAGATGGGTCCCTAACCCAAGAATCTGTTTGAAGCCTTTTCCAGCAGACAAGCAAGAATTCCAACACAATTAACAACTGCTTAGGACCTTTCTCCTTTCCTAGGTACAAACCTTTCATTTTCTAGGAATCCCTAGAAAGGCCATGTGTTCAAACCCCTTGTGCATCCTAATGGCTCCCCACTTTACCTTATCAAGAGATCATTCTATCCAAGACAGTTCTAGCACCACCCTATGCTCTCACTCATGGGGAAAGAGACAGACAGACGGAGACATAGAAAGAGTGCCACTAACCCTATCCAGCTTTCAAAAGATAGCTGACACTGGGAAAGACTAGACTTGAAAAACCCATGTGAATTTGCACAGCTCAGGGAGAACTTGGGAAAGCACGGGTCCCAACCAGAATCCTAAAGATGGATTTTCAGGTGCTAGACAACTACTACCAGTAGGCAGTGTCAATAGCTGGAGGCAAAGAGAAATCTGCCTTGATGCAGGTTTGTTGTGTCTTAATGCCGTGTCTTTCTCTAAGCCTGTTGTTCTTTGAGATAGAGGATTCTTTCCCTTATTCACTCTGTAACTCCAGTTCCAGGGAATCTGTCTTTTTCTGGCCTCTGAAGGTACAAGTCACATGGTTTTCTCCAAGTTGAGATGTTCCATGCTGTTGTCTGTTTTGTTTCTGTACCACCATGTCCTGGGCATACTGCTTTTGTTTTCACTTTCCGGTATGCTGTGTTTTCCTTAGCCTACTAAGGAAAAAAGAAAATTGCGCTGCCATCTATTTCCAAGGTGTTTTAGATGTTACTGTTTTCTATGTCTTCTGAAAGGGCAGTAGGTATTCCTAACTGCTGAGTCATTTCCCCACCCCCCTTGACAAGGACTTTCAACAGCCTCTTTCTCTCTTGAAAACACCTCCCCACTCTCAGGAATTTCTTTTACTATTCCTTAATTTCTCGCTTTTCTGTAACTCTTATTAATAAATGTGACTATACTTCACGTGGTCCCACAAAATCTGTTACTTAATCTTTGCTAGCATGATACAATAAAACTTGACCATTGAATTGCAGGCATCTTAGGACACTGGGTCAAACACAATCTAGCTAAGAAAAGTCTTACTTTAAAAACTTGCAACAATCTTAGGTCATATTGTGTTTGTGAATTCAAGTAACTGTAGCTTACAGATTTTTACTAGTAAAGGATATTAGATTCTGTAATATACTACAAAATATATTTGTAAAATATATATTTAGTGAACATTGGATTTTTCACAATTTTCCTATGACATATGTATGCACATATCCACACATATGTCTTTGTTATTACATGTCTTGTGTGTATATGTGTGTGTATGCGTGTACTTGTATAAGTGGGCTCATATATGTCACAATACATACATATGGATGTCAGAGGATAACTTACAGGAGTCAGTTCCCTCCTTCTACAGTGTGGGTCTTAAAGACATTTCTCTTAACTCACCCGGAAGAAGAGACTAAGCGACAGAAGTTGACAGACAAGATACCACTGTGTACTGAGACCTGCCCTGAGTTGCTAGTTCAAAATGCAGAGTATAACTTCCATGCTAGTGAATGGCAGGTGAGGGTTCAGGTAAATGAGGGGTGAACAGGAAAAGGCCTCCAATTCAATCTGTGGCGAACATGAAGGAATCTGGAGGTTTGTTTTTATTAGAAATACTACATAGAAACAAATAAGGGAAGATAATGCTGAAGACTGGCACTGGAAGTGCCCTCTAATAACCAGAGCAACGCCGGGAGAAAAATTAATAGTAAGCAATGCTCTCTTTAATTGCATAATTCACTATCAGTCATTTTTTTTGCTACTGCAGACTGAATCTAGGGCACCATGCATATTTTGCAAGCCCTTTACCACAGAACTATATCCTCAGAACTCTTTAAATTTAAATCAGTGACCAGGCTGATCCTGATAAACTGAATAGCCTGGAAGAAAATGTCTGTGCCATGGTTTGTTTGGTCTAACACTGACCTCATTGCATACATCAGGCTGGCCACAAACTGGATCCCTGACTGCATTTCAAGTAATACTCCTTTTGTGTTTGCTTTCCTGCACCTGGCATCTATGGTGCTTTTATGTTAACATTATTTAGAAGGAAATGACCACAAGTGCTTGTATTAAATTCACAGGCTGCCTCTGTCATCTGTCATCCAGGGGTAGGTGACAAGAGGGAGGGCAGCTTGTTTCCCAGGGCAAAGGTTCCTATCAGAGAAATCATCTCGTGCTCAACTGGCATGAGCAGATTCAACAAACCAACATTTTGTCCCAGGCTGAGTCCTACTGCTAAAAACTTTAACATAATCTAAAGTAGCAGGGATCAAATGCCCACTCAGGTAGGAAAGAGGTGTAATGGGGGCCAGGTAACTCACAACAGAGCAGAAGAAGGACCTCCACTGTGTGTGAAGGGGACTAGAAGAACCTATAGGGATCCTCAGGACATGGTGGCAGAAAGCGTGATGGAACAAAAGCAAATGGTGTAATCTTGGGTGAATTTTTATTGCATTTATATACATTCTTTCGTGGAAGGGCTCTGAACTAAGGGCTTCGAAGCCTCTCATGACAGACTGGGCAGGTAGTCCAGAGCAGAGTATCACCTATTGGACCACAGTAGAACAGTTAAAAGTCTAAATTCAAAATTCTCAGTACAGTTTCTACTGACCATATTAACTCTTTCACATAATGTTTTTCAGTACAACACTGTCTTAGTTAGGGTTTATTGCTGTGAAGAGACACCATGACTATGGCAACTCCTATGAAGGAAAACACTTATTGGGACTTGTGGCAGCATCCCCACTGGGCTACACCTGGCCTGGCTCCAGAGTGTTAGCACCTAGCCTTAACCCATCCTTTGTTTAGCAGATACCTTTTGTCACCATATGTGAATTTTGTCTGATAGCTTCCTGAGAATACAAAGTTCAGAAATCGGAAAACTGTAGTGCCTGATGAATAGAGAGTTTGTACTTGGCACTGTATTTTTGGAAGCTTCATTCAGGTTGTTTTGAGCACATAGAAATCAACTGGCTTAACTGTAAATATGGATTAAAATAAAAATGCCCTGGGCAAAGGGAAAGACCTTCAGTACATCGAGGCTGGGCCCCCCTGCATCTGTCTTAATTTGTCTCTGAGCCTTCTTTTACTGACTCTCTTGAACCCACACCCACACCGCAACATCCACAACAGGGGTTGGCTTACAGTTCCGAGGTTTAGTTCCTTATCATCATGGTGGGAAGGGTGGCAGCATGTAGGCAGACATGGTGCTGTAGAAGGAGCTGAGAGTTCTACATCTTCATCTGCAGGCAGCAGGAAGAGACTGCTGCCACACTGGGCCTGGTTTGAGCATCTGAGACCTCAAAGCCTGCTTCCTAGTGACACACTTCCTCCAACAAAGCCACACCTACTCCAACAAGGCGGTACCTCCTAATAGTGCCACTCCCTAGGGTCCAGGGGGGCCATTTTCTTTCAAACCACTACAGCAACAAAGTTTCAACTCCACAACTTAAAGCTTCCCTTTTGGCTTGCTTTTGTAGCTGTTGCCAACCTATCCCGGAAAATCATTTAATGCAGTTCACACATATTTACTTTGGTTCATTTTCAGAGATTTGAAAGCATGGTCCCTGGCTGTTCTGATTCTGCATACGCAGTGGAGAAGATTATGACTATGGTGGGATCAGGTGGCAAAGACAACTCAAGTCATAGTGGTCAGAATCCAGAGACAGGGAAATGAACATGGATGAGAAGGGAATATCCTCAATGGCACATAACCTGGTATCTACTTCCTCCTTGAACATACTATAACTTTAGTCTCCAAATCTTCTCAAAGTAGTACCAACAGCTAGGGGACCAATGATTTAATGCAAGAGTCCTTTTCAGAGACAGGCCATATCCAAGATATACACATTCATGGTACACTAGGGGCTAACTATAGAGGTGGTAGAGTATTATTCCTATTTATAGACTTGGTAAGGAGAAAAATTCTCAACATGGATGGCACATGGATAAAGCTTGAGAACAAGTAAAACACACTGACCAGAAAGAATCAAATACCACGTGATTCCCTAAGGAGGTTCCTGGATCAAGTCAACTCTGCCAATATTGGGAACAGAATGATGGATACTAAGAACCAGATCATGGAGAAACAGGGGATGGCATTCAATAAGAACGGTGTTTCAGTTGGAGAAGATGGGCAGTGGCGACAGTTCCTCATGACTATAAACACAGTCATAGCCATGGAACTGTACGTTTAGAAAGGTCAGTGATAAATTCTGATATGTATATTTAGTCACATTAAGCAGAGTATAAAACAAAGATGGATTGAGCCTCTACTGACCAGTGATGCTGTCTTCACATGAACCAGTGACCAGTGATATAGAAGATTGTGCCTCTAGCTAGGTCAGCAGGGCTGACAAGGACACAGCTCTCTTCAAGTGTCCTTCGAGACTCATTGCTTGCTTCACAATGACCTGAGAATTCTCTTGTGTCATCAAATTCCAACTCTCACTCAGCTTCTGTTCCAAGTTTCAGCCATTAGTGTATGAGTGCCAGGTCCTTTGATTTTTGTGTCACATGCTTCCTTATATAGCCTTTTCAGGATGAGGTGGGTTTTTTTTTCCAGCATGCTGCCCTGCTCGTGGTTAAGATCCACTTGCCTGGTTCATACCATAAGACACAGGTTTTATCACCTGTCACTGGAAGTGGTGAGCTATTAGAAAAGTCATTGCCATGTATAGATCAGGTGCAAACAATGTGGCATCAATACTCTTAAAACGATATTGGTTAATTAGATATATGTAGCAGAAATATTTCATTATGCAATCATCAGTTGAAGGGCATCAGGATTGTTTCCATTTCCTACTTCTTATAAAGAGAGCAAAGAGAGCAACAATGAACATGGCAGAGCAAATATCTGTGGAGTAGGATGTCAAGCCCTTTCGACATATGCCAACGAGTGGTACTGCTGTATTGCATGGTAGATTAGTTGTAGCTTTTTAGAATTCTTCATCTGATTTCAACAGTGGCTGTGCCAGTTTGCAATCTCAACAGAGTGAATGAGTGTTTCCCTTTCTCTCACACCCCCCAGGATGTGTTCTCAGTTGCTTTCTTGATCTTAATCATTCTGTATAAGATGAAATCTCAAAATAGTTTAAATTTGCATATCTCTGATTGCTAAGGATTATGAACATTTTAAAAAATATTTCTTATCCCGTTTAGTTTCTTCATTTGAGAATTTTCTGTTCAGATCTATAGCCCATCTTTTAACTCTGCCATTTGTTTTCTTGGCTCTTTGGTTTTTGAGACCTTTTAGTATTTGGATATTAATTGTCTGTCAGATCTATAGCTAGAAAAGATTCTCTCCCCATTCTGTGGGCTTCCTCATCACTCAATTGATTTTTTCTCTAGCTATGCAGAAGCTTTTTAGTTTTATGAGGTCCCGCTTGTCCATTGTTGGCCTTAATTACTGGGCAAATGCAATCCTATTCAGAAAGTCCTTTCCTACACAGATACTATGGAGGGTACTGCCTGAGTTTTCTTTTAGCAGTTTCAGGTTTCTGGTTTGTGGCTTTGATCCATTTGTAGTTAGTTTTTATGTAGGTTGATAGACACAGGTCTAATTTCTTTATTCTGCGTGAGCGCATCCAGGTTCTTCAGAACCATTTGTAGAAGATGCTTTCTTTTCCTCACCTTAAGTTTTTGGGTATCTTTGTCAGTTATTTTCTTTGTCAAATTTTAAATGTCTGAAGTTAGGTGTACTCATTTTTTGGTCTTCAATTTTGTTTCATTGGTCGACATGGAACAAAATTGATCTGTTTGTACCAGCATCACATTGTATTTATTACTGTGTTTCTAATATATCTTAAAATCTGGAACTGTAAATCTTTCAGAGCTGTTCTTTTTACTTAGGATTGTTTTGGCTGTCTGGGGTCTTTTGTGGTTCCATGTGAGTTTTAATATAGTTTTTTCCATTTCGTGTCAAATTAAATAGGAATTTTGATTGTGGTTACATTGAATCTGTAAACTGCTTTTTGAAAAATGATCATTTTTCACAATATTAATTCTACCAATCTATGAGCATAGTATGTTTTTCCATTCTCTAGTGTTTTTCTCCTTCTTCGGAAATTTAAAATTTTCATTGTAGAGGTCCTTGATGCGACGGTTTGGATGAGAATGGCCCCCAGAGGCTCATATATTTGAATACTTAGTTACCAGAGAGTCAAACTCTTTAAAACAGATTAAGAGGTGTGGACTTGTTGTAGGAAGGGTGTCACTGGGGGTGGGCTTTGAGATTTCAAAAGTCCATACTAGGTTCTCTCTCTCTCTCTCTCTCTCTCTCTCTCTCTCTCTCTCTCTCTCTCTCTCTCTCTCTCTCTCTCTGCCTATGGACAAGGATGTAGCTCTCAGCTACTGCTCCAATGCCTGCCTTCATGCCACCATGCTCCCTGGCAGGATGATAATGGGCTAAACCTCTGAAACTGTATGCAAGCCTCCAACTAAATTTTTTAATAAGAATTGCCTTGGCCATAATGTCTCTTCACAGCAATAGAACAGTGACTAAAACACTTGATTATATTTGTTTCTGGATATTTTATTTTCTTTGAAGATATTATGAATTGGAGAGTATTCATTATCTTTTTTCTCTGTATGTTGTTGATGTATAGAAAGGCTATTGATTTGTACAATTTGATTCTATATCCTGCAACATTGCTGAATTTCTTTCTCATTTCTAGAAGTTTTCTTTGGACTTATAAAATTTCTACTGAGAAATCAGTTGTTATTCTGATGAGTTTTTTCTTTATAGGTTACTTGTACTTTTTCTCTTACTGCTTTCAATATACTTTCTTTGTTCTGTATAATTAGTGTTTTAACTATGATATGCCATGATGATTTTCTTTTCTGGTCTTGTCTATTTGGTATTCTGTATGCTTCTTTTATTTGTATGTGTGTCTTTCCTTAGTTTGGGGAAATTTCTTCTACTATCTTGTTGAAGTTCTGAACTATGGTATGGCCTGTGACCATACCACCCTTAGCATGCCCAATCTCATCTGAAGATCTGGTCTATGCCATTGATCTGGGATTCTTTTTCAGTGCCTATAACTTTAAAGTTTTTTGTGGTATTCCATATTTCCTATATGTTGCTTTACTGCTGTTTTTTAAATTAATTATCTTCCTTATTCAGTCTAGATCCTTTACTTTACCTTTGAGTACTAATATCCTATTTTCTTTTTAACTCATTCTATGTATAAGGCTTTCTTTTGAGTTTTCTAGTTGAGGTACTGGGGTTTTGATTCCATCTTCATTTCAGCTTGAGTCCTTTTCAACTTTTTATATCTCTTTACTGAATTCCATTTTCAGATTCTAGATTGCCTTGTCATTTCTATCAGCCTATGTTTCTTGGACATCACTCCAACATTGTTCTACTAAGTTCTTTCTCCATGATTTTTTGTTTGCTTTTTTCAATATATGCTTTTATTTAAATTAGAAACAGGCATGCTTCAAATGTTAATCCCAGCTCCCTCTCCCACCCCTCCTCCCTTGTCCCTCCACCAGCTCCCCTCAGCACCCAGCCCAATCCCCACATCATTCCCCAGGGAGGGTGCGGCCCTCCTTGGGGAGATCTCCAGAGTCTGCCATTAGCTGACCGGACAAGGGGGAGTTCTTGAACCCCAGACTGATGGCTGAGAGGCCAACTGGGGACTGATCCAGACTCCATGAATGTAGTGTCAGTAGGGAGGCCTCAGAAATCTCTGGGGCCATGGGTAGGAGATTAGTGTTCACCATGGCATATGAATGAACTTTGGGAGCCCATTCCACAGGAGGGATGCTTTCTCAGCCTGGACTCATGGGGAAGGGCCTAGGTCCTGCCCTGGATGAAATGACAGACTCTCTACGATTTTTAAAAAATTATTTTCTCATATGTTGCATCCTGACCACAGTTTCCCTTCCCTCCTTTCCTCCCAGTCCCCCTCCACCTCACTTCTCTCCCAGATCCACTCCTCCTCTATTTCCCTTCAGAAAAGAACAGGCCTCCTAAGGATATCAAACAAAAACAGCATAACAAGTTACAATAAGACTAGGCACATGCCCTCATATCAAGGCTGGATGGGGCAACACAATAGAATGTAAAAGGTCCTAAAGGCAGCCAAAACAGTCGGACCTCTGCTCCCGTTGTGAGGAATTCCACAAAACACCAAGCTATACAACCATAGCATATATGCAGAGGACCTAGGTCAGACCCATGCAGGTTCCTTGATTGTCGATTCAGTCTCTGTGAAACCCTATGAGCCCTGCTTAGTCGATTCTGTGGGCTGAGTTCCCCGGTGTCCTTGACTCCGCTGGGGCCTACAATCTTTCCTCCCCCTCTTCCATGGGATTCCCTGAGCTCCACCTAGTGTTTGGCTATGGGTATCTGCATCTGCTCCTATCAGTTGCTGGGTGGAGCCTCTCTGATGATGATTATGCTAGGTTTAGGTCTACTTCTGTAACCAAGCAAGAATTCTAGTGGTGGGGGTGGGAAATACCAAATCGGCCACAATACCTTCAACCTAAAGTTTGTCCTACCTGCAACATGCTCTGGGATAAAGATGGCACATAACTTGTGGGAGTGACCAACTAATGATTGGTCCAATTTGAGACCTTCACCAGGAGAGGGATCCCAGGCCTGACACTGCCTTGAAGACCAGAAACTAGGAGCTGGATAGCCCAGAGATCTAGAAAAGAACCAAACATGATTGGAAAAAATTCAATGAAATGATTCCCAATGATATTCTGCTTTTTCCTTAATTTCATAAAAATATTTCTTTGTCTTCCTTAAAATGCTTGCATTATTTGATGAAGTTTATGGTTGTTCTTTTAAATCTGTGTTTTGGTGTTCATCTAAGTACTTCTCATTGGCAAACATTTCTATAGGACTGTTAGGTTTTTGAAGGAGGATATTAGCTTGCCCCTTCATATTGTTGGTATTTTTACTATGATATCTGAGCATGTGGACTGTTTTTCTGTGTCTGATATGGACAGAGAAGTTTGGGGCAGAAGAGAGGATGTGTGAGCCGGCTGTGTCTAGATGTTGGAAATGGCTTGGGCAGAATGAAGTCATATGGGCAGAGGAGACTAGGGCTGGTGGTCAAGATTTGTAACCTGGTCCAAGTCTGGAGTGTGGGACATATCGGGCTAGGTTGAAGGGTTGAATTTAGCTTGGTTGATGCCTATATATTGGAAGCAGGTGGGGGCAGGTCCTGGTGGAAGACTTTAGTTTGCTTGGGGCACAGACAAGGGTGTCAGACTAGGTCAGGACACTGAGTATGGAACCTGGCCTAGTTCTGGAGGTTTGAGGAAACTGTGTAGAGTGGGAGATTCAGACAGACTCACTGCAGTAAACCCTGTAGGAGGAGGCTCAGGATCTTTCTGGGTAAAGAGGTTTGTGACATCTATC